TGTTATCTTTGTCTAATATTTCAATTTGTTTGATGATCTGAAACATTTCAGTGTGACAAACATGCAAAAAAATAAGAAATCAGGAAGGGGGCAAACACTTTTTCATACCACTGTATATATTTAAAAAAACATTTTATCATCACAAGATAAATCCATACAGCAAAAAAAGTTTAATCTTTACATATGGCAATATTTAATTTGGAACATTTTCTAACACTTTATCCATAAGTGATTGCAAAAATATCTAGATCCGGACCCAGGTGTGATCATAAGAAACATTTTTGATTAAGTGTTAAGCTTGGACAAAACAAAATACCATCTTAATCATTGCTGAAGTTAATCAAAGCTTAGTAAAGTACCTCAATACTCTGGCTACGTTCATGCAGATATCCTTGTCATTGCTGTGTTGCTCCAATATTACACAGAGTTCTGGAAATCCACTGTTAGAAAGGAATTCCAGTCGGGACTGGGGAAGGTCAGCCAAATTTCTTAGGGTAGCTGTCAGCTAAAAGGACATATGAAAGTAAGAAAATATCACAAATGAAGTGAAAAGGGTAAATGAAAGGGATATAGTGTATGCATAACCTTTTAGTAGCTTGTAAATGAATTGACACCAAATATAGCATCCCTCCATGTCAATTAATAGTAGCAAATAGGCTCTTATTGTTAAAAAATACCACAATAATAATTTCATAATTATGTTTAAAAGATCTTGTCTAAAATTATTTCTGATTGGCATTCCAACTTTTATATTTTACTGTATGTTACCTCTGTACTCTAATCTAAAGTATTCAATAATACCTGGATTTTTACAACTTTCCAGGACAAATGTCTAAATTTAAAATAAATGAAGAATATTTGTCACCAGATCTGTGGTTGAAATAGGGAAGAAAACAACAAAGATAAGTCAGTAATATGAAGGAGAAACTGGATAAGTAAAATAATGAAAAATGTCATTAAGGCTCTGAGCTCAGCAATTACTGACACAGCTGATACCATTGTTTCCAAATTAACAGAGCACATTCAAAAAGTTATCACAATAAATGCCTAAAACTGGACACTATAATTATTGGCATAGCAAAGGACCCTTGAGAATCCCTGTATATCTAATGACAAATATGCTGATAATGAATAGTCAGTCTTTCTTATTGTCATATTTAATTAAAAACTAAATCAATTAAACAAATAACACAAAACACGATTCATTTATCCTTAAATAATGCAAGATTTAATAATCAAGTGGCACCCCCATGAGCACCAATGACTCCAAATTAAATATTTCCTGTAACCATTAAGCAGTCTCTCACAATGGTTTTCTGGCCCAATTCCTCCTCACAGAACTGCTTCAGCTCTGAAACATTTGAGGGTTACATTGCATGGACAGTTTGCTCCAGGTCCTGCCAGAACATTTCATGGGCGTTTAGGTCCAGACTTTCACAAGGCCCTTAAAAACATGGAATTTTTCTTACTGCTGCCACTCCTTTGTAGATCTGCTTGTGTGTTTTGGATCAGTGTCTTACTTCAAGACCTACTGCTGGTTCAGCTTCAGGTCACAGGTCGATAGCCTGATATTCTCTTCTGATCTCATACAGAATTCATGGCTGTGTCAATGATGACAAGCTGTTCAGGTCCTGAGGTACATTAAAGTACTCCCAAACTATCTTACTCCCACTGCCACGCATGAAGGCTGGAATGAGGTTCTTCTATTCAAAAGTAGCATTTGTTCTCACCAAACATAATGCTTCTCATTGAGTCCAAAGAGTTCTACCTTTGATTCGTGGAAGAGACATGGAACAGGTTACTATTAACCCTACTGGATTTTCACACAATGACTAATTTTGATCCAAGAAAGCTATCATGGTGAGACTACAAAATATCTACATTTATCTTTTAGGTTAAAGATTAAAGGTTAAAGAAAACTTTCTCAGCACTGTACATGCAGTTTATTGCATGTAAAGCAATTAGCTTGACCCATTCTATTAAAATAAAATCATGTAAACTGATCACAGGAACAGAAACATACACAGATAACTGTGGACTGTTCCAATATTTCAGCCACATTTAACCAGGCAACATCTTTCGCAACAGAACTGGCAGCCTGTCTATCTGTTGACTGTTTAGTATGAAATGATAAGGTTCTGGGAAAGAAGAACCTCTGCTTATTCGGTTTTAATCCAAAATAAAATACACTCTGCTAGAGACAGCAGGTTTTTTTAGTTCCCTATTTATAATCCATCTTCCTTTCTTCTTATAACACTTGAATAATATATTTTATCATATAATTTATGTTACATTTAAAATAGACACTTTTATAACAACAGTTTTTTCCAATGCATTGCTGTATGAGCATTTCTCAAATTTTAATCTAATCTACCCCCTTTCTTGCAAGCCCTACAACAAAATCCTTATACCACAAAGATCTATATATTATTTACCTACCTAATCAAACAAATGACTTTGCAACTCTAATCTAAGAAACACACATTTTATGTTTACTGAGCAAATGGTGAGCACTACGTTGACACAAAACAGGGTGTGTGGTGCTTTTTTTGTATGCCGCTGGTCTAAGGCAGCATCATGCAACAACAGCAGCTCTGTACAAAGGTCTGTTGAATCCGTTATCACAAAGCCACGCTAAAGACTTTAAGAACATACTGTTCTGTCACACTTAAAAATAACACCACAAACCGACCTGCCACAGCACATATTGTAAAGTGATTTAACTAAGGTCACTAAACTCACTAATGCACCACCTACAGTACAAGGAAAAACACTCACCAGCTCACTACAGGGTTTTCTTTACCACTTCAGTAGCTCTTTTAGAACCATTTAATACTCTGACAAGATGCAGCTGAGGCTATTACATAATCGCACAGTTTACAACATTTGAAGAAACAAAATGAGGAGATATGGAGCTAGAAAGTCAATGATACACCATTGGATAATCAGAGGGTTACACAAGAGTTATTATAGCAAAAATGAGAACAATGCAAGACTATAAAAAGCCAGTAAAACATTTAGACTACAGTACCCCAGTAGCTTCCATTTCATTTCACGAACCTATAAACATTGAAACAAAGGTCCCTAGACATTGTAAGGTCAGCATTCATTAACACTTTTGTTTTGGAAAGAAATTGTTAAACCCTGGAAGGTTGTAACATCTGTGAGCAATTTCTAATGTCTGCAGTAAGAAATAGAAACAGGCCAGTGAACAGGAGGTCTCGTGCCTCTCAAGGTTGTAATGCAAGATTTTTGTCTGCCTACTTATTGATACCTAACTAATGCAATTCAAAGAACAAATCAGACAAAAACAGCTGTCCGAATAATTTCTTTGGCGCAGAAAACAAAATATTTTACAATGTTAATAGCTTATAGGGTACTTAAGGTGGTTCATTAAGTCATATACTGTAGTTAGTTTTATTCAATAGAGAAGTTTAAGTACCCCAATGTCACACCAGCACTAATTTACAAAGCAGAACAATCAGTAGGCTATCCATGTAGCCTAATAATAGTCATACTCTCAGTAGAAGCAGGAAGTGAAACGGTTAACCAGACTGCACCATCACAGCATAGTGCTTCAGCTCTCTTTTTTTCCTAAATGTTCTTTTTTTATAAAAGAATATAGAAGCTACAATGAAAAAAACACTTAACTAGTGGACTAAGGGATTCAGCTCTTTACACCTGACTATGTTACAAACTCCAGGGCTGACAAGTCACTCTTGCCAACCACCTTTAGTCAGAATAGATCATACAGCGAACATGTCAATTTCAATTTTGTTGTAGGACTGTCCCTTGAGCTATCTTATTTCAGAACTAAGTCCATGAGGGTGTCTGCCACAGGGCATCACAAGAAGAAACTACATTATCTCATACCTTCATATCCATATCAAGTTCTCAGATCACTCTGTCTTACTAGTACTATAAATTTATCTGGGCTCATGACACACAGTGCTGTTCTGCTCTCTACTGGTTCCGTATCAGTGCTGCTCTCATCATTTAAATAATTATTAAAAGCAGATTTCTAACATGGGCCTTTTTCAGTGTGGAATGGTGTTAGCTTCCATTCACAGGTAATATCCTTTATTTCTATACTTTGTCATATTTTGCTATACTTAAAACGTTTATTTTAAAGGTTTGCACGATATGCATCTGATTGAATGTACAGTTTTATTGTCCCATGATAACACTACAGAGTATCTCTACACTTTATGACAATTTCTAAAATTTTAAATTAAAATAAGTATATTTGTTATTTTATGAGACTAAGTTACCTCCAATAAAATAAAAAAAATGCATTTTAAGTAGTTTTTGTTAGAATTGAAAACCTGTAGTAAAGTACACAGGTATTCTCAGATATACATGCTCTAGGATTTTCTTTGGGAAGTACTCAGTATACTGCAACAGTCTGGATCATAAAACCAACATTGAGTCAGGTTCAAAAAGATCATATTAATCATTTTAGTTTCTTCTATTGAAAAGGAAATAAAACTCTGAAAACATTAATTCTAATGAACACCCAATTACCATCTTGCAATACAACAGCAATAAACAGCAGTTAATCAATCAATCCTCGTGCCATTGTTTATGAAATATGAGAAACAAAATGACATTAAAATCAATTTATATATACAGTACATATTGTGTATGTTATATGTTGTGATATACAGTACCTGAACCAGAATGTGTCCTGAGATGGTGAAGTTTGTTTTGTCCAGCCTGTTTGCATCATTGAGCTTCTTGGTCAGGTGCAGCAAAATGCTGACAGCACCTTTGTTCTGGAGGAGCTTGAGGATCGAGCTGTTTCCTGAGAGGAATTTCAAAGTGCCCATGCAGTACAGGAGGGCCTCGGCAATAGAGAAGATGTTTTCAGAGCAGAGGACCGATAGCAAAGAATCTGTGAAAGAGGATCACAGACAAACGCATCCACTTGAACACAGGCTTTGCAGGTATATAGCAAAAATAAGATAAAACACAAAGGCGAGATTTTTTTGTGAAAGTACTAATGAGAGAATTTAATCAACAGCTTTCATTTTCCAATTCAATCTTTTTGAGTAAAAGGTAAAGATAGAGTTAGTCAATCAGACATCAATTCTACACATCGTGCCTAAGGTAACATGGGTGTTTATGGACTTATGTGACCGCGCACAAGAACATTAAGGTGACTAAAGATAGGAAGACATGCGACCCACCTTGTCACTTTTCTACTCAGACACTGTGCACTTAACTGGTCTTAACCCTTTACATCCTCTCTTACACCTGCACTTCAATCAGTACTAATCATCCTTCATAATGAGACACTGGAGTCTTATAAACAAAATACTGGAAAAGTTTACCCAAAGCAATGAGCTATAGATCACTCCGGATCTTTCTTTCAGTAATCATCAGAAATCCGTAATCTAAATTCTTCTTTCACACTCTCTCTCCTATTAGACCCTTTCTGGCACAAAAGACTGCATATTTGTCTTCTGTTGGAACAGCACAGGAGCCACAAAAACTACACCTGTGGGAACTAGACTGTTTACATTCAATTCTGAGCTCTCACTCTCTCCCATTCCTGCAAGAGCTTAGGCACAGACTTTAGCCTTTGTCCTAACCAGCGACCCACAGAGCCAATCATATCCTGTATATTATATTCACACTGGATGCCAATCAATCAATTAAGCCAGGTGAATCTAATTTTCACTCCAGTAGGTGACTTTAAACTAAGCCTCTACATTCACTATCACAGAGACCAACCTGCTGGGAGCAATAATCTATAGAGAGGTCTAGAAGCATTTATACCAGAATGGAGGCAGATAATCAAGCAAAGCCACATCTGGGAAATCAAATATAATGAGAAACAGCTCTTCAAGTAAAACCACCATTAAATGTTTATACCTAAATGCTAGCAGCTCTTAAACCAAATGACAGAACGAGCAGCCTTGACGCTAACAGATAATTATGTTTTTTTAGGGGGTTCTAACACTAGATAATTTATGAATTTAGTAATTAATATAATATTAGTGGGTACAGTCTTATCTAAACAGACAGCAAGAGAAAAGAGCTGGCAGTGTAGCACTGTACTGTATATCTGAAATGATCTGCAGGCACATTAACATAGACCAGAAGAATCAAATGTTTCAGAATCTGTATATACAGTACAAGTAAAAATCTGAAATCTTTAATAATAGAGAGCAAACTACAGAGCACAATACACAGCCACAGAATAACTGCTTCATTATACAGTGGACTACAGTAAATAAAGCATGACAGAAGGGAACAGGTGTTCTTATGGGGATCTCCCTTGTACAGACTTCAAATGGTAAAAGTGGTTAATGACCATACTCAGGACCCTGGGTATTTCTCTACCCAGTTTATTAGAGAACAGACAAGGGGAAGTGGTTCTGATGCAATTTTCTTTTTATATTTAATTTTATATTTAGGAAGGGGAACTTTGATCACAACATAGTTCAATTTAAATTTAAGAAACCCCACCTCTACGGTCCAACAACTTACAATTTTAAGCTAAATACAAAAGAATAAACCTTATGTTCACTCATACAGTGTCTATTAAAAGTATTCAGCCCCATTGGACTTTTCACACTTAACTGTGTTACAATATAAAATACAATGTATTTGGGATTTTTTTGCCATTGATCAACACAACATACTCTATAATGTGAAACTGATAAAATTCTACAGCTCCTCCTAAATCAATTATTATTATGAAACAGAAAATAAGTGTTAACATAAGTATTCACCCCCTTTTACTATGACACACCTAAATAGGCTCCGGTGTAACCAAATGTTTGTTGACTGAAGTCCACCTGTGTGCAACTAGAGTGTTTCTCATGAGTTCTGGATACATATAATAATAATTATAATTGCTTACACTTATATAGCACTTTTCTGGACACTCCACTCAAAGCGCTTTACAGGTAATGGGGACTCCCTTCCACCACCACCAATGTGCAGCATCCTCCTGGATGATGCGACGGCAGCCATAGTGCGCCAGAACGCTCACCACACATCAGCTATTAGTAGGGAGGAGAGCAGAGTAATGTAGCCAATTCATAGACGCGGATTATTAGGAGGCCATGATTGGTTAAGGCCAATGGGAAATTTGGCCAGGACGCCGGGGTTACACCCCTACTCTTTTCGAGAAACGCCCTGGGATTTTTAATGACCACAGAGAGTCAGGACCTCGGTATTACATCTCATCCGAAGGACGGCGCCTGTTAACTGTATAGTGTCCCCATCCCACATGGACTGCAGGGTGAGCGTCCCCTGCTGGCCCCACTAACCCCTCTTCCAGCAGCAACCTTAGTTTTTCCCCGGAGGTCTCCCATCCAGGTACTGACATATACTGTTCCTATCCCTGGGAGGTCCCACAGTTAACTAGGAACAGGGTGTCCTCACAAAGAGCAGAGAGGGAGGGAGGCTGCCCAGAGACTTGTGACCTCTCTAAAGCAATTACACCCTTCCATAGCTGCAATGGGAGAACCTGTGGATATGACAATTGCCTGGGTGCTTCGCAAAATTGGGCTTCATTGGAGAGCGACAAAAAACACACATCAAAACGCGACTATACTTTGTCAGAAGGCATGTGGAAGACTCTTGACACCAAGCTGAAGAACATTCTATAGTCTGATGAGACCACGATTGACCTTTTTAGCCTCAATGATAAGTGTTAGCTTTGGTGCAAGCATAACAGTGAACATAATCCTGAGAACACCATCCCTGCGGGAAGCACAGTGGTGGCAGTATCAGTATCATGAAATCTTGGAGGAAAACCTGCTGCAATCTGCAAGAGACATGGGACTTGGGAAAGATTCACCTTCCAGTAGGATAATGACCCAAAACTAAAGCTAAAGACACACTGGAATGGTTTAAAAAGAAAAAGTAAATGTTCAGGAGCCAATTAAGATCTATCTTATATTATGTGGCATTAAATATATATATTAAATAGTGCCAGAAAAATAAGACAGTGAAAATATAAATCATAAGAAAGCGCACATAAGATCAAAATAAGAGGCACATTTGACAATTTTAAATGGAAAAATTGCAAAGGCAAAATAGGAAACACCAAAGTTTCAGCATAATAAAACCACAGCATACAGTATATTCTAAATAAATTCCAATATCTAACTATTTTTATGTAATTCAGCAAATGTATTTAGCAAGTTAAACAGCAAAGTTTGTTGAACCATGCTGCTTAAAATATTTGTTTCTAGTGTGTTTGCAGTTGTGAAAAAGTGACAGTACTTAGAATTTCAAAGGTCTTTCATTTCACTGTTTTTACACAAACATGAGAAGAAAGGCAGGCTAGATATGTCACTACAATTTCAAGAAGCTAGCTCAGATTATCCTTTAAAACATCCAGTTTCAGTTTTCATTCCACTTCAACACCTGTGCCCAACTGACTCTCTCACTAATGAAGCGATTTAATGCTTATGCAACAGTTACTCAAGTGTATGGCTGTCATGAGTCATGAAAGGACATTAATCAAAAGGATGCCAAAACATGCTATCAATACTCAAAATCTGTATATGTTATTTTCTAAAAATATACATGTATGATCAGTATATTTGTAAGATATACTGTACTGATGTAGCAGGTAGGTTAAAGGTCAATCCTTTCATCTTATATGAATAAATATGGGAGTATATCTTGTAAAATAAACTCCCATCTTGCAAAATACGAGTCATATTTTGGAGCCATGACTTTGACATGTAGTTTATTCTAGAATCCAACACATTTTATGGCACACACTTACAGAGGGGATATCACAAATAATAGCCAAATAAATCAGTTTGTGTGATGTGGTTTTAAATAAACTGATTACCATCTAAATCTCAGATACACTCAATCTACAACACTGAAAAGGTAATTTATGTCAGAAGGAAAGGGAAACTAAATAAAGTTGGGCTGTACAGTTACTCAGACTGGGGCCCTGTTAGGTAAGTTGGTCCCAGAACTATTATAGTAGAGAAAAAACAATGAAACTATAATATGAACATGGTTACAAAAAAGAAAGAGATCAAAGCTTCTATTATAAGCAAAAACATGTCCTTTAAAGATCTGTTACAGACCACAAACTAAGCTCTTACCTATTATAGAACTGTTTTGGAAAAGACTGTCATTGTTCTCACTCCTGCTGATTTTAAATATAAGTTTGCAAACATTCAGGAGATTATTTCCAGTGACACTGAGCTGAAAATGAAAAAAAATATATCTCCAGTTAGTTCCCATGTACACTGTACACTGAAATACAGTGCTTTTCTATTGCATTCACACCATTCTATGAAACATGATACAAAAAACACAATATATCACAAGGAGTTACAGACTGGATAATGTGTCTTAAAAATATAATTAAAATAAGTTGTCATATGTCAATGTTAATTTATCTGTCTTTCATCCATCCATTTTCTAACTTCTTTATTCAAAACACATCTGTCCATCACAAGCTGAATATCATTCCATCTTGTGTAAAGTTACTATTTTAAAAAAAAATGTGCAGTAAAGTATATTTATTGTGTAAGCTTTATTAAGCATTTCTATGGAAGGAATTTCATCTAATACTGTACATAATCACTTGAAAGTGCAGAATGAAATTGGATATTTTGATTTCCTTCAATGAGGTATAATCAAAATGACAATACCTTCAGATATATAGAAAAGAAACAGTATTCTGTTTCCAATACTATTACATAAAATATCCAATCTGTTACAGGTTCAGAGTCCCATGTCACTGTAAAGTTTAGCTCACAAAGAATGTTGTCACTAGCTCATGCTTCCCACTTGTTACTCATTGAATGCAGAATAAGAGGAAGACACACTGCTGCAATACAAAGAAAATAATCTTCAAGCCCGAAAAATACAGCCATTTCTTCCATTCTTTCTATTTGTTTCTACCACCATTCGGTCTATTATCCTACTGTACTAGCATGTCTTTGGTCTGTGGGAGGAAACTTGAGTTACACTGGGAGAACCTACAAACTCCACGCAGAGAGCAGCCCAGGAATTGAACCCAGGATTCGAACACTCCGAGGCAGCAATCCTAACTACAGCACCACTATGCCACCCTATTTGTCATACATAACTGAATTCTAGAAAACAATAGGGTTATATTTATACAAATCTCTAAGTATTCTTTTAAATAAACTCAATGGAAAAAAAAAACTACAATAGCAATTCGCTCTCTGGAAGTGTAAAGGAAGCCTCCAGAAGAATTTAAAGGCCTCCAAATGTTTCCTGTTTTCCTTGGGTAAAGGAGAAAACACACAGAGCAAGCATTCAGTTGTAGCTTGCATCATCATGTAACAGAACATTGTAGCTAACCTTCTGGTTTAAAGAAGCTCAAACCTGGTTGAAAATGTACAAACCAAAAGGTCTAAAATCTCCCTGCAGAAGTGCCACAACCTCACAGCACACTATAGGATCCCTGCTATAGGAGCATTTACAACATACTGTACTAATTACAAGGGGTGTGAATAATAGCATCAAATTGAAATGACTCAAGTACTTGTCTGGAAAATACTACCTGCAGGAGTGTATATAATGTGATTTCATTTTTTTTGGTCTTAAATTATTTATGACAAACATGGCTTTTCTTTGAGAAAAACGATTACGATTTCAGTATACAATTTGTTATCAAGATCCATCAATCATTCTGTTATATGATGATTTTTATTCCTATTTCATCAGGACTATGAACAAATGTTGCTGGTATAGTATATTTTCTAAGGTTAAAAAAATTGCAGCTTTTTAAAGATCGAATCCTTAGATCTACTGCGGAGAACTTGTAATGCAGTTTGGGAAGATGTTTTTAAACATCTAAAAAATTATGAGAGTACTGGTATGAATGCCAATTTATGTAGCATACCGAATATTTTAATTCCCCAACAAACTCTCCAACATATTGTGTATTATAATCAAGGAAACAAGACTTACAGCCAGAATCAGTCTGGTAAGCTGTAGATTAAGCTGGTCTGAGCCCATATCAATCAATTTAAACAGAGTTTTCAGCAAAATTGCTCTTCTCCTGCACTTTCTGCCCAGCAAGTTGCTCTCATCCAGAATACGGTGTAGTCTATCACAGGCATCACACAGCTGCTCCAAACTATTGCCTAAATAGAAAACAACATTCTTATTAAGAAGATATACAATACAAAATTACAGATCACACACAACTACACATGTAAAGATAAAACAATCAGTTGTAAAAACCGGGAATCAAAAAATCTTAACATTTCTGTTGTATTTTTTTCTGGAGGTTTCTGGAATTAATTACAATACTTGCATTTTTTCATAATAAACTTTGTTACAGATCAATTTCTTATGGGCATTATATACTGTACTTACTTGTATTGTACTTGTATACTTGAGAATATGTTGTCTAAATACTATTTAGATTATACTGCTGCTGAATCGCTACTAATACAGTATGGTAGAAAGTGTAATGAAGTTTATTAAGATTACTAATGAAACTGTTTTGTTATTCTAGAAGGAACAACATCCTACTAGTGCTGAACAGTTTATTTGGTATGAAGGGCATTCATGAATTGTTAAACTCAGAAGAGTTTGACTATGATCCAGGTCATCTAGAGCAATAGATGCAATAAAATCTAATAAAATCCTCTTGAAAGAAATGATGCAACAAATCCTTTGTCAACAATTTATACAGTATAGATATAGGAATATATACATATACGTATAATATATGTTTAGGACACTTTTAATGATGGTGCAGGTTGTTAATATTATTTCTAATTAAAAATAATGAATTCTGATCAGAACGTATATACCCAGTCCACCTTATTCACTGATAACAAAAAACACATTTACCTGTATGAATATAATATATTTATATGTACTGCAAAGTTTTCTATTATCAAAAGAAATATTACAAAAATGAACATAAAGCTTGAACTTTTTACAGTTACTGAGTGCAGTAATCTTCAGCAAGATGTGCTTAAGCGAGAGAAAAGCGGTGTGTTAACATCCACAAGTTCAAATTTTAAATTGAGACAATCGGAGGAGCTTTGGACATTGAGAGAGTTCTTGGAGCCTCGAGAACTCTTCTCACACCAGGCACGATCTGACACTGCTAATATGTGAAACCGAGGATAAGGGGGAAGGCTAGTGAGCAGACAGTTCATTTTCCAATATAAGATTGGTCACCTCCACAGAGCATTTCTGTGTTACACAGGCGCTCCTTTGACAAGATGCTGAAATGTTGGACTGGCCTTCCGAGGATCCAACATAACACTTGTGGGATTAATTGAGTAATGTCTGACATCAATCATGTGTTCACTCATACTGTACATCATCTATCAGTTGTTACAGGCCTTGCTGCATTACTGCGTAGCTCTTCTACTTCTCAGACAATTGAGCAGGTCAGTGCCTTGTAGACTTCATTCATGGTTCAGGGCAGAAGATGGTCATTCTTTGGAAATTGTTTTTGAAAATTGATTACAACATGCCTTGTGTGCAGCTGTTTCATTTCAATCTACAGTTCAAAAGGCCAAACTTGCACAGCCCACCATTTGCCACTGTACAAAGTTTGAACATCCCACCACTTTTGATACATCTGACTGGATGTATCTCAACTCCCCTTATAATAATATTTGGGTTTTTATTTTTTGAGCACACTAAAGGTTCAGAACCAAAAACTTTTAGTGGTGAAAATGAGCAAAACAGTAGAAATTCTGCACACTGTATTCAAGGGAACGCCTTTATTTTCTTTTGTCAAATTCCATTATAGAAAGGAATCCACTGGGAAACCTACTTTTTCCACCACTTAATCAAAATCTGACTACATACAGTAAAGGAACTGGCAACTAAGTTTTCTAGTGGTAATATGCACAGTCATTAATGCATGAGCTCTGTGTCAACATCAAAAGTATTTTCACAAAGATAAATATTTAATTTATCTTATTTCCATTCAAGTTTAAACTGACTTAAAAATTCACAACCATCACATTCTGTTTTCCGACACTAACCTCCCCCCTGAACACATCTGAGCAGTGACCTAGATTTATGAAATCTTTTAAAAATATATTTAATTTAATAGTAAGTAAACACAGGCAGTACAAGGCTGAAAGTCATCTCACGAGAATTTTAAAGGTTACAATTTTTCTATGCACACTCCTATCGAAAAATGCTTCCAGATCCATCAGCTATGGATGCCCCACAGCACCCACAGCAGAATTAATATTGTTTAAAAAATTGATGCCTCTTTCTCTGAAAGAAGCACAAATGGATTGGTTCCTAACAAGTCTTGGGGGTTGCTGCTGCACTGAAAGCTGACAGTTTCTGCAGTTGTAGGCCTAGGCACTCAGCCTGACACTTCCTGCTGCTTGTAGAATCCCAGTGACTCAATGACACAACTCCAATCACGAAATGACAGTGCTTGGACTAAAGGGCCTAAAGCATATGCCAAATGAGAGCATCTGTTGCTTGAGCCCTATTAGTCTATTTTTAGTATTCTTATTTTTTACTCTTTTCCACCCACAACCTTCTCTATTCATACACTTTCATTCCTGTTCTAAAAATGTGGAACTTAAACTCATTATTAAAATCTGTGAACACACCTTAAAATTAATTACTATGGGAAATATGACACAATTGACTTATTGGGGTGTATTGTATGGGAACAAAAACAGGTATGGGCACAGTTTGTATGTGCTTTGGATGTCTCAAAGAGCCAAATTTAAACTTCTCTTATTTAATTCTGGGTATTAAAAAACATATTTCTACACAAATAATAACCTAGACAGTAAAGACACAAAACACCAACATGGAAGCAGAATGACATAGCAGCACATTTAAAAGTCCACAGAAGAAACGCCAAGGTAGTACAGTATATCTAAAACGACACCCGAGGAAAGTCAATTATAACTTCAATACAAAATCTACAGCATGTACAGCATCTACAGAAACATACTACCAAAAATGAATATAGAATACTGTTCAAAAAGAATAGCTTTTTGCACTTTTTAACTTTTTTGTTTCCCTCTTACACTAATTTTCAGAAAAATACATACCATGGGTAGGTGATTCAAGCTCCTGGAGAACAGGGATGATCCTAGATTTCCAAACGAAGCTTTCCTCAGATTCATCTTCAGTTGTTCTAGGTCCATTATTTGATTCTAAGTTTTAATGCAATTACGAAAGAACAGATTAACATCTGATCATGCACTGTTGCATTCAAGACTCAGCAATGGAGACTGAGCCAGCATACACTATTTGTACTTATTTTCTTAGCAAACACGCTAGAGGCTCTCAGAGGCACATACACTCCAATATTGAAGATTTACTTGATTTAGTGTCAGCACAAGTAACAATTGCGTAGGTACCGTAAAATGATAATGAAACTAGTCCAAACAGGATAAGCAACATAAGCAACATACAAAAACAAAAGAGTTAAAACAGTATACAAATATTGTGGTTACAAAGAAGCAATGTAAACACATGTGTGTACTATATATCTTTCTATAGTCAGTACAATTAGCAAGTTACATTACCATTGATTTAGAACGGTTAACTGTGCAATTTACTAGAGCTACTGAAAGGTGTAGCTACAAGTTGAGAGCTATTTCAATGTTGTCTTAAACACATGAATAGCGAAGAGGTGCCTAAAGGTGACTGCGGAGTGATTTGTGTAGGTAGTCAATCCCAAGGGGGAGGGTGGAGAATGAACGGGCTCTGGATCAGGAGAATGAAGACCTCTGGCAGAGAAGAAGTGAAGAGGTCGGGGCATTTAGAAGATGATGATGAGAGATGAGAGAAGTAAAAGACAGGCACAGAATGGTTGAAATAATGGCAGACGAGAACTAAAATTCTGAATCGGCTACAAAGAACCAGTAGAGGAACTAGAATAATGGAGTCAAATGAGAAAACAAAGGAAGAAAAATGACGAGCCGAACTACACAATTCTGGATGAGCTGGAATAGGCAGATGGTGCTGGCAAGGAATCTAATGCAAAAAGAAAGGAAGGGATGGATTCCTCATGCAGTGCTCAAGGAGAAGCAGCAGGAATGTGCCTGAGATGTAATGTCATTTTTAAAACAGGAAAAAAACAGGATAACCCACCTCAAAAATATCTACCCTCCAAAAACACCATACACAAGATTATAACAAGAATCCTCTTTCAAAATATTGTAAGGTCATTCAAACACACACAGCATAAAAATGCCTGCCTTTCAAATTTTCCAAAGTTTACAGTTCAGAAGTTCATTTTCTTAAAATAATCTGCTGTAGAGGAAGTTTAATTTCAGAATAAAAGGTCACCTAACACATCTGTCTCTGATTGGTTGTTCTCTGCATATACAAAATTTAGTATTTGCATATCTGCCTAGTAGTTGCAGGAAAAAGTTGGTGGCGTACAGTTTCATTTATTGGCTGCTACTTTTAGCAGGTAAGTTTGACACACATAGCAACAGCTCAGTAGTTTGAGTTGCAAATAGCTTACTGTTGAACAAAAATAAAAATCCAATAACACCATTTATGACCAAAAAACAGTTCTGAAGAGAACAGGCTAAGCATTACTTGGCTTCAATCTTCGATCATGTGCCCTTAAAGTGCTGGATAGGTCTTATCTATTCAAAGTGTTACTGCAGCAGACTGAATTTATATCTTGAGTAAAATAGCTACGTGATAAAGACATAAGTGAAACTGAATTTCCATAATCACTTTTAGACAGTTAATTTCTAGTCAATGACAAAGAAAGTATTAATTTGGAAAACATTAGCATTAGCAAGAAAAAAAAAGAGACAGCACTGTCTCTAAATCTTTTAATTTAATAATATTATGAAATAATCCAACCCTTTGAGGTGCAGCCTCAAATGTCAAGGCCAAATACTGTAGATTCTACAGCTTTAAAAACGTGATCATTCCCCTTACCCATCACCACCACCCCAATTCCCCAACAATTGCCTGTTGTTTTTTTTGCACATCGTCTGTTGTTGTTTTTTGCACACTGCCTGTTGTCTCTGTCTTTCTTTTGCTACACAATTGTATTGTTGTTGTTGTTGTGTTTTTTTTCTCTTTGTACTACTTATGTCCGAGAGCGAGCTAAATAGCATTTCGTTATACCATATACCATGTATATGAGTGTAATGACAATAAACTTGAACTTGAACTTGAATTCAGAACAAGGCCTTTGGGAGCCACAGGAACAACAGGAAGGGGGGTTATTGCTTTCGTGCACAGTACCTGTCCTTCCTCCCACTGCCCGGCTGTCCGCGCTGTACGGACGAGAAGACGTGTCGCTGGGGGATCTAGTGGGGCCACTGCAAAGGGAAGAAGGAGGACAGATATGTCAAAAGCTTTTTTATCTACAGCTACGCCAAAGAGGTATGCCATTGACATCCATACAGTATTTCTAGGGCGCTCCATGCAGTGTCTCTTTGGTGTACTGGGAATTACAACAAAAGGAAAAACTATACAAAAAGCTTTTCTTCTAGATTACACACTGCAAATACAAAACAGGAGTTCAACGACCAGGTGTCATCTGGTGTCATCTTATTATTAGGCTTAGAAGGCATAACATTAGCATACAATTTCATAGGATAAACTCTGAAAAGAGATTTACTCCTTTAACACTAAACACAATTACATGAAAATTATTTGCTAAGGCAAAATTTCTTCCCCATCTTCCGAAAGTATATATAAATGCTTAAGGTACAAATCTTGCAACAAGTAATACAGATATTCAAATTACAAAAAGATTTGATTTTGCATTTTATTTGGCTGTTGCTAAGGTAGGAGAAGAGTAAATTCTGCACTGGAAAATACTTGAGAGGACATTTCACTCATCTGCATTTTTTGCAACATTCAAGAAGATTCATCTAAAAATGTTTTTCTGGCAGAGAAGGTTATTTTTAAAAATACCACATTTTTAGGAATTTATACATTAAGCTTGCATCTCTGACCTTTTGGAATGAAATAAGATTTGTTCATTTTTGGGTGGCATGGTGATGCAGTGGGTAGCCAGGAATCGAATTGTGGGTTCGATTCCTGGGGGGGCTATCGTCATGGAGTTTGTATTTTCTCCCCGTTTTCACTTGGGTTTCCTTCAGGTGCTATAGTTTCCTCCCACTGTCCCATGACATGCCGGTAAGTTAATTGGCTTCTGAGAAGCTGGACTGCTGAGTGTGTCGTGTGTGTGTGTGTGTCTGTGTGTGCCCTGTGATGGACTGGCATCCCATCCAAGGTGTATGCAGCCTTGTGCCTGCTGCTGCTCCCCTGTGACCCTGTATTGGATAAACTAGTTAAAAAATGTATGGATGGAATTCATTTTTGTCTCACTAGATGTCACTGTTGCAATCTGTAATTCACAATCAGCATATGTTTTCTTTTAATAAAGTACACTGCCAGCAGGGTGTATCATTATTTAAAACATGAGGCAAAACAAATGTATACAGTATATGCCTTATGTTAACAGTTATTTATGGATTATCCCTATACAACATACATTGATTGCAACTATGTGAGAAGCTACTCTTCTGTTTTCTTGATCACCTTAACAAGTCTTTAATAAATTAATAAAAACCTAAGATTGCAACATGTATATTTGGACATACATGTATCATACATATATTGTTTAGCCATTTTCTAAATGGTTTATCTAATACAGGGTCACGTAGAAGCCAGCAAGCAATGGGAGCAAGTCTGGAGACACCCTGAACGGGGTACAAGTCCATTGCAGGGTACACACAGACACAAACACACACATACTAACACCAGAACCAATTCATCCAGAAGCTAATTAACCTTCCAATATTCTTTTGGATTGAAGGAGGAAACCAGAGCACCTAAAGCAAAGCCACATGAATGCAAGGAGAATGTATCATCAGCACTGACCTTTTAATAATTTAAAATAACTTTTGTAGGTCCTCTATATGTAACAAATGAGCACTTGCACATTTGTAAAATGATCTCACAAGAACACAGAGTGTTCAAACTGAGCTTATTTAAAAGAACTGCTGGGATGTTATTTATAGAATTATTACAGATGATTGAATGTAAGTGTGTGACATCTACAAAACCTGTAATTGGATTGATTCAATCTGGCAGAAATCTGATTGAGCCACCCTGGGGAGTACAAAGCAATCCTTGGACAGATCCTCACCAACTGGGCAGCTCAGAGAACATCAGAACAGATGGCAGTCTTTTTTTTTTCTTGTTTTTTGTAAAAAAAAGGTGAGATCATATTTTTTTCTGTGCTCATATGTGCCACCTGACATCAACCTAAACCTCAGTCATAAAGGAAAACATCTAGCTGATGATAGCTGAAGTAGCATATTCTGCTATCATTCTCTTATCATATGAAACTCACATCCACCATCATGCATGTAGGAGATGATACCTCAAAATCCATATAGCAATCCCACATTCATGGATTGACACCACACTGCTAATAAATCTTTACTTTTGCTTGTTGTGTGGTATGAATTTTATTTATATAAATATTTCACTAAAATTCAGTCATGGAATGTTATGGTATGAATGTACAATGGGCTAGTATGACTACATTGAGAATTCCGTGTATGATTCTGGTCACTATATTATAAAAAGGGTATTAATGCTCTTGAACAATCCAGAGAAGAGCAAACAATGTGTTCTCAGGCTGAAAGGAATGTCCTATAAGGACAGGCTAGACGAAATGAACCTTTTTAGTCTTGATCAAAGACAAGCAAACCCGATCCAAGCATTCAAAATCCTCAAAGACTATATTAATATGTATAGGTTGTATTTATACAAAAAATATAAACATATCAGGAGGACAGTATACATAAAAAAGAAGGTAACAAAAATATCTACAAGTTGGTCAAATCAACAATTAACATTTTCAGTTAAATCACATACAAAGAAATATACTTGAAAATAGAGTAAGCTGATCTTTCACCAAGTCGTGTATGTTTTTTTCCTAGCATTGGGATGCCAAGTGGTAAATATACATTTTGGATTACTGACAAAAAACAATGGTTTTCAAAGCTTTTTTTTTTCCACAGGAATATTCACTTTTCCGAAAGTAAGGAAACTTTAATGCTTGATTTTTTTTTCCAGGTCATTTAGTCATTATTTTGGAAAAACAGCAGGAGTTTGCTAAGATGTAGAAAATGGATTGTGTGTTTTTGGAAGTAGGTTTTGACAGCTGACCTTTCCTACAATACAAATAAAATACATAGATAATTCTCACTTATGGCTGAATATTAAGTACACTTCAGATTTAATAGTTTTTCAGTCAATAAAGTACAAGCAACGTTCCAAACTACCCCATTTTCTTTATTTTCTTTAGTATTTCGTTGTCTTATGCACATCATTTTGAATACAAAGAAAGCACAGAAATGTTGTTATTCGAATTTCAGATGATGAAATGACAGATTGTTAATCCCACTAAGTTTGCCTTAATCAAAAATACTTATTAGAAGAGTACTTTTGACAATAAAACACAGAATTGTGCCGTAAGCAATACCACAGGTATCACTCTGATTGGTTACAGGACGTGGACAAAAATGAAAAAAATGAGAGAAACCGATTAATTATATTGAAAAACCAACGGTTTCTACATAGGTGTGGCTCATGCATGAATTAAGCAAACAGTATCCCAGAATTTTTTGCGGCATGTATAAAAATGATGGACGGGCCTGATTGTCTGTATTTCTGGCTAGCTTGGCTGCTGTCTCAGTAACTTTGAAAGGAGATTGACCATTAGGGCACATTTGGCAGAAGCTTCAGTGACCATACAGTAGTACCTCGACTAGAAGATGTTTCAGCAACAGTGCTATGTACGGTGATGTCAGCATGGAATTCGGGGGGAAAGACATCATCAGCAAAGTGCAACAGAAGATGAAAGCACATTTTCCAGGATTGTGATATCCTGTGCTAATTCCAAGTGCAAGGCAAAACAGGTGAGCATTTGCAGAAAAACTGACTGCCAATTTCAACCTGGGGTGTCAGCAGCCAGTTTTACCAAAACTGCTCATCACACCAGCCAATGCACCCCATATCAGCCTTGTGGACTTGTTTATACCACAAAA